CATGTCTTTTGTTATATCATCCAACATGGTGGCCATGTCTTTTGTTATATCATCCAACATGGTGGCCATGTCTTTTGCTATATCACCCAACATGGTGGTCATGTCTTTTGTTATATCATCCAACATGGTGGCAATGTCTTTTGTAATTACATTCTCTTGGGAATGATTTAAAACCATCAATTGTTTTCTTAGGGTGTCATCTTCATCAAGAAGCAACTGGCCTCCCAAGATCTCCACACTATCTTAGCTAGCATCCGGGATCTTTGCCTCGGAGCCTCTAAGCAGTCAAGTGATTTAAGGTCAGCGGCTCCAGCAATCAGCAAATTTCTTGCGCGTATAAAGCGAGCTAGCAACGCTGAGATAACCATATTGCAAAAGCAACTGGTCAGCGCTCTCAAAAAGGTAACCATCTTCCTCGACTGTTATCTTAACAAACTGAAGATGGAGAAATACGTCCAGAAATACTGCGAATTGGGTAGTGACAGTATTGGGAATCTCTATAACAGAGCAAACGGTCTTTTTGACTTCAATTCTGTCTCGTGTAGAACAAAAGATGGGTTCCCTTACACTGATTTGAATAACGTCAAGGAACGTATTGCCGCTAAAGCAAAAGAAAAGGGGTTCCTCACTGATTGTGTCTTGAATAGCAAAGCTAAGAAACAAAAAGCATGTGAACTAAATGGTGATGGGTTTAATCCTAAGCAAATTGCATCGAAGATGAGTTTGCAGGAGTACCAAGTCAATCATTTTTTGAAGACATGCCCTGAGCAGCCGATAACTCCTAGTATTTTAACACAAATCTGCACATACAGGCAGTTCTGTGCACCGGAGTCCAGAATTGCTTCACTAACAAGGATTTCCCAAGCGCGACTCCTTAACATACCCTGCCCTTGCCCTGAGTTGCTGAATTAACGGTGTTAGATTTTAAGCAGATTTTGTTTTGTATGAGTGTGAAAATCATTTTACGCGATGAGGGGGTACCTTGTCGTTGCTGTGACAAAAACATGTTCCAGCACTTTCAATGGATGAGAAGTGAACTTGGTCGTCCTAATTCGTAAATTCCTTAAAATAACCTTCACATTTTATCAAACCCTGAAGACAACCTCTTGGCCGGGCCTCTGGGCACCGTTAACTCACAGATCAAATTGGAATTTTCATAGCATGCTAAATTTTGTGGCGAGGGAAAAACCGGAAAAACTGGGGAAAAACATTTCCTAACAAACTCTTCTCACATGCGATGAAGGAGTCCAGGAATATCGAACCTGTTTCCCCAGAGATGAGAGGCGAGCTGCGCTAATAATATGCCATCCTTGAATCCATACTGCAATAGTGGTTTACCACGCCGCTTTAAAGTCATATTACATAATACATTCATATTCTTCGACTGCACGTTACGTCATCGCGGCCTCTCGGGGGAGCGTTGGTGCCATTTAACAAAAGATTTCTTATTAACATCAATTGGGACATCTATTTTGGGAATGCTTGCAACCCATCAATTAGAGACCTTTAGCATCAGGTTTACCGCTAGCTGCTAGTGATCAGGGCCAGAAACACGGAGAAACATGTACACTCAGCATTAATGAAATTCAATATGGCGGTTCTTACAGTAATAGAGAGTTTTAGATTGACTTTTTTTCTCCCCGCAAACCCAAACGTGACCACGTTTTCATAGTTTTCCTGTATTTTACTTTACCTTTTACAAACCTTCTCACCAAGCGCAAATACTCTTGTTTTTCTACTACTTGGACTTTTTTGCGATTCTTTTTCAGTAATTTAAAAGAATTTTTTACTGGTCAACTGACGTTTCACGTTTTCCGTGAACGTAAATCTAAAACTCTCTAATAACTTCGTTATGACGCCTTGATAAATGTTGAAAGTTTGATGTAAAACGCCTGACGTTGAACTACAGTTTGAGGTTTGCGGTACCTAGCAAGAACGTCGTGCTAAAGGTCTCTATTATAATTAGAATTAATTAAAAATAATTATAATTAGAAGCTGTAAGTCAGGGTTGGATGGGGGCGGGTTTGGGGTGGTATTAAGTCTTCCTATTTTTAGTGTATCGCCTGATGTCTATATCCTCATTTTCTTATTATATTCAGAACCACTCGGTCACTCGACAAACTTCATTTTCATACCTTACCATTTTATAACCGTTTAGCTATTAAAATAATATTCACTAAAAAATAATATTTGTGATTTGGGTTTATTAATCTGTCAGGTCTTAATTTTATTCTGTGATATGGAAATCTATTTTTCCAAGAGGAAAAGAAACAATTCAGATTTGGCAACTTTGTTGATTGTGATTTGCTTCTATGAATTGAATTTTTAATATTATTGCAATATTAACATGATTTTCAATTAACCTTCGTGATTTGGCCGCCATATTGGTGACCCTTAAAGGACCACCAAGATAATCGGTCGTATCTTCGTATCTAGAACTTCTTTTAACTACCAGGTGATCTTGGTTCTAACAGACAGAACGAATTAGCCAATCAGCAAACTTTTTGTTCGTAGTTCAAGACTTCCTAATTCCAAGTTTTCGGCTCGAAAAAAACGTCTTTAACTTGAAAATATAGAAGAAAAAACGTCCGTGGAAAGATTAACCAAATAACAGTTAGAAATAGTATATTGTCGACGTCGTCGTTCATAATGACACTTGAGAACATTTTTGATGTCGCAGGTAAAAGAAAAAATAAATTAGCTAGTGTAGGCATAGTTAACTCCATTAACTATGGTGTAGGTTTGTCCTCTTGCTCTTCAAGCTCTTCAAGCTCTTCAACCAAATGTTGGTCGCGTAAAGTGTCTCTTCATGGACTCTTCTGGAAGCACCACCTTCCTCGACATCTGCTGCTCTAGCGACAAAGCACTTAGAGCACTTCCCATATAAAGATAGCTGACTAGCAGCAGTAAGGGGGACTCGCGGTCAATGTCAAAGATTTACGGGTTTTACAGGCGGTTTAAGGAAGGCGCCGGCAGCGGGAAATACCCGTGTCTCGTTATTTGTTGCTGCTATGTTAGGAATATTTGTCTTATATATGCATGAATGTAAAAAGTTTGCCAATGATTTCTGTGTGATTTGTCTAAGACCCAGAGTTAACATACCAAAGCCCCAAGGTTTCTGGTGTTGTGGTAAGAAAATGCAAATAGAAGACGACACGTCAGCGCAGTGTTACGAATGTGGTAAGAATATTCGTAATGCCGTACCAAATGCTACCAGAGAGCAATATTACGCCAATGGAGGTCGTAAGAAAACACCTTATAAGAGAATAAAATACTTTAGGGACTGGATGAGTCATATCCAAGGCTATCGACCGGTATATTTA